TACTGTCACTTTTGATCAATTTAATGCATCCTTGTTGAATAAAAGATTCCTTAAAAAAAAAAACACCCCAGACTTTTGAACAGTAGTTTATATTAATAAATAGTGGTTTATATTATATAAATAGTGTTACTGACCTGGCGGACAGAAGCAGCCATCTATGTTGTGTTCCTCACACAGTGTGTTTGTGTCTTTGTGTGAGCATGTGTCCATACAGGGGGAGCCGCTTTCAGAATGTACCATATTGTACGGGCATGTCACAGCTGCATGAGAATACAAGACACACAGAGTCTTTACATCTGCTTATAATAAGAAATAAAAACAAAGGAACAGCTCAAGAGAGAAGAATCCCATTATCAAGGTACTTACCACAGAAGTTTGCCGTTCTCCAGGACGGCGGAGTTCCTCCAGCGTGAGAGCACTGACGTGAATATTCAGACAACGTCGCACAGAGCGCAGAAGTGTTGGTGTCTTCATCTTCAGGTTGACGTAAGCAAATATCATTTGTACAGGCCTTGATATACGGCTCACGGTTCAAAACCCTGCTACAAGAAGACCATTTTTCATCCTTCAAAAGGTCTGCACAATCTGCCTGCTGTTGTGAAAAGGACATGAAATATCTTGAATCTCAAAGGTTCATATTAGGTAACAATACTGGAATTCTGAGTTGCTGTTGGGACATAGAGGGAGTGACTAACAAATTTAATTTGAAATGATCAACTTTCTTCTGTAACTTACAAATTTTTCACATTTGTTAACCACATTTTGCTCATCGTCGGTTTCAAAAGGATCTTTGCAGGCATGTGTTGGGTTGGGAACTCTGTGCATATTACCAAACTCAGCATAGCCAACCTTCCATCCTGCAATAAATAAGACACTTGGAGATCTTGGATATTCTTAAAACTCTTGGAGATTCATCAAATTAGAAATCCATGAGGATGGAATAATCATTTATACTGTTCATAATTGGCCAAATAATGACTAAGAAATCAGGCTGTAAAAGTGACTTACCTGATTCAATGAACTCACTATAAACTGGGACGCCATTGAAATCGCCACACAGCCCACAAGTGCGATTGGAATATTTGGAGTCGAGTTCCACCTAACAAAGGACCACATAGAACTTCATTGTTAGATCATTTGACAATATTTTTGGCCATTTGGATTTTATGTCAGTATTAATGTTATGTGATCAGAGCAAGCAAAACACTGGAATATGGAATAGCCATCATTTGTGTTCAGTCTTGTGGGGAAAGGCCAATGCCAGCCCTTGGAAACAGTACCATGGTACAATGATGGTAATAATACAATGGTACCAAATGATACTATATATACCATGGTTTTTGCATGGTCCTCATTTTTGTCAGTATACACCAGTGAATATTACTTGCAGACTGAAATTCAGTATTGGAAACAACCATGTTCATAAGGACGGATATAGCTACTGTACATTTCAGTGTGTAACAGAACATTGCCTTATATAGCATTTTCACTTCACATGTTGCTTTGTCTTGCACAATATGCTAAATCATTCAGTCCGGTCACTCCCTTGAAATGTCTCCTACTGGTTTCCTGTGGCGTAAACTAGTTATACCTCAATTAAAAACTTGTGCAATAAATAAATTCTGCTCCTTCAACTTCTCAAAAAGATTATAAACGTCAAATTTAAAGCCATAAAAGCCAAACACCTGTTCTTGAACATTTTGTCTACCTCTGACTAGAAAACGCCATCTCCAACGTGATTTTAAAGTACTGGGTCTGTCTATCATGTATTTCGCCGTTTCAATTATTAACAGTAGTCCCGCCCATCAGTGAGGTTGGTATTCAGGTGGGACATACGGAAAATACGGTGATTGACATTGCATTGACAACAAATGACTCATGCGAGCCGGTTCTTTTAGTGAATCAAAAA